TCGCGAATCAGTGTCACGTAATGTTCACTGGTCAATAACGTGTCTTGTTGATCCAAGGGACCAAAACCATGTGAACACAGCCAGTACCATTATGGAACCACCGCTATACCTTATGGAAAACTGGAATCCATAGTATCATCGGGTTTGCATCACACTTAAACCAAGTATCAGCTCCATACAACAGAAAGCGTAATTAATCGGACCGCGTCATACGTTCTCCAGGATCCAATCAGTGACTTCAGGAGCATAGGGAAGGTTCTGTTTCTGTGATCGTGGTGTCAATATGTGAATCGTGAGGATTCTTCTACTCCTATAATATATGGACACTAAAAGAAAATCGCTGAATTGACCTGTTCTATATGCGTATAGTAAATTCTGTGTTGAATTTGAATGTCATTTAAATCAGGCAATTCTAGCCTCTGGTCACGATTATTAAGGACACGTGGTAAATACCATGAAGAGAACATGTGAGCAATGATTATGTTTCAAGAAAAATGGAAACACGACGGACAATTATAACTAGAATCAGAAAAAAGACAGCAGAAATCTCTAGAGCACATAATAAGGAAAGCGTGCTTAGAAAATTTAACACTCACAGGACATGTTGAAGGCAAGAGCGACAAAGAAAAGAATCGGACAACCTAACTACCGAGCTTGTGTAAATCTGTGGCATCTGTAGCAAAAAGACAAATATATGAGTTAGAAAATACAGGAAATCCTAGAGGAGCATTATGTCCTGAAGGGTTACAGCACATAGAACAGAAGAAAGTCGGCCACCATGCTGTCTACAGTGAGCGGAATGTTTTCCATTGGGTGCTCCTGGTAGAAACGAGAGGATAATACTCTTACAAGAGAGTAACGCTCACGCGGGACCTTGGATTCTGCTTTTGCAAACAAATATTTCAAATAATCACACACTGAATGAAATAGCCACATGCAAAACAGCAAGAATAACAAGAATAAAAAAAAAAACGTCAGTTTGCTCTTTTGTATTCATCTTCGACGCTATTAAGTGGCAGTTATTGCAAAGAACCACAGAACAAAAGATCCTGAACCTCTGGTCACTAGACTAATGATTTGCAACTTGTAGATCACTAAATGCTCAAGGAAAAGATGTTCGATAAACATGTTATCATCAGATCAAACTCTTAGTCTGAAACAGCGATCTACTTCAACTAAATCTCATGGCTCAAAGCGAAAACAAAAATGGTTATTTCTCTGCCATTGCTAAAGGCCACATTTGCCGGCAGATGCGCAAATCTTACTTAACATATATCTACAAACAGAGTTTAGGTTATGAGATTTTTTTTCTGTATTCCATGCCATATCTTCAAGCGAGGATCTTACAAATTATGAAAGGGATTGCCGGCAATTTCATTACGGACTTCAAACAATTTATGCCCTCATGTAGATTATTCATCTGATTAAGCAGCTATTAGATTCAAAGATAACATGAAAGGAAGATCGAAACACTGTTATATATCTATTCATCTATCTCTTCATAAGTTCACACCTATGCCTGCATGAGTGCATAAATATGCTCATTCATTCATATATATATATATATATATATATATATATATATATATGGAGAGTCAGAGAGAGGGGAAGGAAAGAGAGAGAAGGGAGAGACAGGGAGAAGATACGAGAAAATTTGCTTTCATCTATTATTGATTCTGCAAAGGTACTTCGACGTGGTGCAATGGTTAGCAAGCTTATCCCGCAGCATCAATTATGACTGAATAGTGAGTTCGATCCATACTAAGCTACGCTTAGTAAATCACAGGTGTACTTCGATTTGATGTAATTGTTCACAAGCTTGTCTCGACTTTATCTATTACGATCCTCACTAGGCGCTCCACACATTTGGCCAATAATTTTTGCTTCTTTATGCTATATTCTGATTCTTTGTTTTGGCTATATCAAATTTATGTTGCTATATTTTGATAAGTTTATTGTAATTAAAAGAATCCATTTAAATATTCTTCTTGATTTATCTGCTGGAATAAATTCTAACGAGAATTATTTATCAATTTAATCTCGTTTAATAATTTTTTTTGAATTTATTATTGTTTGTTTTGTTTCTATTTTACTCATAATATTTATTAAATCATTTTCAAAATCAATCAATTCTTTTTGTTGTGGTGGACATTTTATTGAGGAAAATTCGAAATTGTTTTTGTTATTAAAGTTTTTGTTATCAATGTTAAGAATGTAAAATACTTTCCACCATAATATTTATATAAAATTTTCTATTTTTTTCAATGAGTTTAATTTTATATTCCTTTATATTTGTTGTAGGAATATTTTTTGTAGGATATTCCAATAGTGTAGGTTCCATAGCTCTGATGAAAAACGACACACGCTTCCCGTTGGCTAATTCCGACTACATTTCATTGATTACTGTGTTTAATATGTTGAATTGGGAATAGTACTGTATTCGACATCTGATTTTACTGGAGGATATCATACCAGATATCGCACCAGATGCATTACATCGCCTTCTTTAGGTCTAAACTAACAGATGGTTTTAATAGGATTATTTTCACTCCATATTGTGGTAAACAATCCGCTTTTAAATCTTACTTATTATAAAACGCAGATTGTGTGTGTGTGTGTGTGTGTGTGTGTGTGTGTGTGTGTGTGTGTGTGTGTGTGTTTTATATATTGGATCGGATTTCCTACATTTTTCAACTGATTTCAACAAAACTTTACAGGACTGCGTAAAATTAACTTGCGGTGGTTCTGACAGCGCCAAAAATTGGAAAACACGATAAAACACGATTCTGTCGCCAGAATGAAAGGGGGACAACTCATATCGAGTTATACTTATTATTATAAAACCCAGGTTGTTTGTGTGTATGTGTGTTCGTTTATATATGGGATCGGATTTCCTACATTTTTCAACCGATTTCAACAAAACTTCACTTTTTTTTGGCAGGTAGTGTTTCTTATTGTCTTGCACACTTTTTTCTTTATTTTTACATTCAGAATGCTTTAAAAATTCAATTTACAAGACAATTGTTTATAATAAAATTCTATTCAATCGATAGACTAATAACGATTGAAAACAATGTTTTTGTTTGAGTTTGGGTTTGACCAATTCGTAAAAGAAAAATAATTAAGACATGCGCGTCCGTCAACCTTAAACAATAATCTTTGTCAATTTTATTTTTCAGTCTTTATGATGGTCGATACTTGATCTATCTCTTACTGTTACATCCCCGGGCATCGCCGGGCTCTACTGCTAGTAATTGATATTATTGTAGTTTTGGTTGCTCTTGAACAGTCGTATCGATCTAGGTATTCAATTTGTTCTTTTAAAATACCTTACAATACTCATATGAGTAATCTAGAATATCTAATGGTCTTTTGAACAGGAGTAGAGGTTTATCCTTTGTTTCTTGTTTCCGGTTATTTCTAAACTTCATTCCTATTTACACCATTTATATGGTTCGGACTGTTGTGCTTATCGTTATTGTCATATCCATGTGTCTTTTGGGGTACATCGATCGAAACGTCGTGGACATGACAATAAAGATGAGGACAATAGGTCCAAACAATGTAAATAGTATAAATAGTTATAATACCTTGTGTCAGAAATATTGACAGATACTTCATTTCTATGTTACTAACCTTTCCGCTTCAACTCTGAAAATTTTATTTACTGTTTAAGGACACATGGCACAGTGGATAAAGGCGTTGGTTAGATCCAGTGACAGACCCAAAGAAGGTGAGTTCAATACCCGGTTAAGGCAGTGGAGAACTTTCAGAGGGAAAATTAGCAGGAGATAACTGATAACTGACATCCATCAAACATGGCACGTGGAACTAGAACAGTCTACCCCAGTGATCGAAATGAAGGGTTCAGTTCGAAATTCCAACCACCTGAAGAAGGCCGGAGCGTACAACGGCCGAAACGTTGTGGCAAATATGGCGACAAAGATGAGGACAATAGTCCGACTAATGTAAATACTGTACTGTTTATTTTGTTTTCAATAGAAGTATATAAGTTCGCCATGATGGCTAACATCCTGACGTGACACTGCACATAGAAGAAAGAGAATTGTAAGAATTCATCGCAGATAAGCAGTCAACAAAACGAAACAAGTAAGATCGAAACAACAATGACAAAGATATTGCTATATTGGTCTGAACAGGGGCAAAGTACTCGTCGCCACCCCGAATCACTGATATGTCCTCTCAATATCAAATTTCTTAAAGCAAGATGCATATAAAATACATATTTTAGTGTAAACTAATTATGTACAATAATAGATGCAATAAATGGTGAATAATTCAATTAGAAAAAGTGACAATAAATACAATGTATCTAAATGGAAATTAGAGAAATGTCATAATAGATCCTTCTGTCTTAAATAAATCAACAATGATTTGAGACAATTTTTAACATCAACTTGAGATTTTTCGTGTTAAATAGTTGAATAATTTTAACACATTCAAGATTATGCATAGAAAAAATTATTAATTTTATGTAGCATTTTTGTAGAGAAAAACATTCAAGGATTTTTGTAGGTAAAACAAATTCACGAATGTGGGCGAAAAAATACTCAGAATGACTTGAAAATTCTTTAATAACAGTCAGTAGTGATTACTTTAATTTGTAATGTATATAAATATAGGTAGATAAAAGCAAATGCCGATAAGATAGCGAAGGTCACGAAGCACTGCCAGGGTGAAATTATTTGATTCTCTCTCTCTCTCTCTCTATCTATATATATATATATATATATATATATATATATATATATATATATATAATTAAAGATATGTTTTGTGGTACAAAACTTTATGACTGCCATCAAAAGACAAAAATTATTTTTATCACTCATGATGAGAATTGATAAAAAGTAAAACTGAAAAACAGGATAGCTAACAGGTTTCGAACCTCGATCAACAGAGCTAAATCGAGGTTAATACACTAAATAGAATTATCACTAAAAAAGATTGACAATATGTATTGGGAAAAATAATTATATATGTATATCCTCTCTCAGTCTTTATATCTCTCACGCTGTTTATCATTATCTGTCTCTCTCTCTCTCTCTCTCTCTCTTACTCACGCTCTCTGTCTATCACGCTCTATCACTTCATCTCTCTCTCTCACGTTCGCTATCATCCTCTCTCACTCATTATCTCTTTTTCTCTCACCCTCTCTTTCTATCATCCGATCTCTCTCTATCATACTCCCTGTCCATCATCCTCTCTCTCACGCTCTCAGTCTATCATCATCTCTCACTCTTTCACTCTCACGATCTCTATTTATGAAGCTCTATCACTCTTTATCTCTCTCTTGTTCTCTCACTCTTTCCCTCTCACGCTATCATACAATTTCCCTCTTGATCTCTCACGCTCTCAGTTTATCATCCTCTTTCATTCTTGATCTCATCCTCTCTCTCTCTCCACACCTCTCTCTCTCTTTCAGGCTCTCTATCTGTTTCCATACTCTTAGGATCCTTTAA